CAGTAGAAAAAGGGTTAATTGCACATAGCCCATATAGTATCACCATTTTGAGCTTACCACCCTTTAGTTTCATTTTTGCGGATAAACCGCTTGACCTTTTTTTTTAACTCTTTTAAGATGGCTGAAATCTTTGCAGATATTGCCATGAGTGAAATCAGTGAGTCTAAGGGTAAAACAGTAGAAATCAACCCGGTGGTGCTTACATGAAACTATAGGGGTAGTAAGTACAACACAGCGATATTGTAGGGAGTCTAAGTGCAACTAACCCTCTAATAAAAGAAGGAAAAGAAAGAGACCACCTCCCACCCACAAACCCCCCACCCTCTCCCTGATAGCCACCACCAGTGATGCACTTCAACCAAAAAACAAAAGAACAACAGAAATGGAAAAATCTGTCCTCTTATAGATCAGTGATACCTATAGCTCTTTAATCCCTGATTAATTTCTCTTTTCCTTCAATAGCATCCTAGTAACTTCTTGAGAATTTTATTTCATGAAAGGCTGAAAGCTCATTCGAAATCAATTTACTATCTTGCCATTATTGGCCCTCTCATTTGTCCATGGGTCCAGATTTAAACATGTTGGACACAGGGATCTCGTAACAGATTTTGGCATAGGACATGGCTATATCAGCCACATGCGTGTATACTTATATAATCAGATGTACATGTGACTGAGTAGTTTGATAAAAACTATTTAAAGCTTTGATTGATATGTTTATGACTTGAATAATCATATGAATCATATTTATTGAAGTTAGATGGTAATCTTTTTTTCATTTGTTATGATTTGACATGTTGATAATGAGTATCCTAGAGTATCATCAAAACTTCCATGTGTCTAATACATCAAAAAACTAAACAACAATTTTCAAACTAGTAGTCATTAAAAAAAGGTTTTTATGAGAGTCGTTCCATTTTGTTTCTTTGAGCTGTCAATTTAAGGCAATACGCGTGATCTTGCAGGTTGACATTTGTGTCTTCATCTTTGATGTCATGTTTTCAAATGGAAAGAGGTACCTATTCAGAAATTTTACGTAAATAGATTTTATCCCTTTATGATCCTAACTTTCACTGAGTTTTAGCTTCAATTTATGCCTGCAAATCTTGGTTTGTTACTGACTGCAATGAGATCTTTCCACTGTGCTTTCTTTTATATTTGAAGAAATGCTTTTCCTTATTTCTGTTGGGTCAACCATAGCATTTCAATTTGAAATTTCGTAGGGGCATGGGATTTTAACCATTCTCAACATGTAAATGTTATATGGTATGCATAAACCATGCTTTACACTTAGAATTTCAATAATCTATGTAATGTATCTCAAATGCAAGAAAAAAAAACTAGAAAATTGAAGCCAGAGACTTGGGTTCACACCATGCAGATGGTATGATGGGACTATGCAAGCACTGGTTGGTTCCTTTGTGTACAATGTATCAGCCTATGTTACCTGAGTACTTGTAGAATGGAGCCGTACCCAAACCTGACACGTGTTATACTCATACCCGACACTTCATGGACACTGCTTAAATATATGAATATATTTATTCGGATCTGTACAAAATTTTACAATGCATGTTTAATTTAAGTATATGCATATATTTATTCAGATCTGTACAACGGTCGAGTTTGTTTCAGCCTTAAGAGCTACAATTTAAAAGAGCTGTTTACATATATAGCTTAGAACTATGATTATATCCCATGAGTTTTGGCCGTTTCCCCATACCCTACCTTTTACAAATTTGCTGTGCCCCACACCCGTACCCGTGCGACTTAGCTAGCTCATGTCAGTTTAGCAATTATGTTCCCTCCACCTCTGATGAGGTAGTCCTTAGTAATAACATTTGGTTAGATATGAAAACCAGCTAAGCATTTTGAAATAGTATTTAAAACTTGTTATACTTACAAGTGCGAAATTCTATCAGATTTCAAACCTGTCTTACTGTGAAAAATACATGTAGGCAACTTCACCAGAATTTGAAGGAAATTCTATTTCAAGATATCACAGCCCAGGCTGTATACTCTCCTCCAATTAAACCCTGATCTCCAACTAATACTCAACCAGCTCCTTTTCAGCCACGTGTATTGGTTATTACTCAGTTGTCTTGCAGAGCCTTGCTTGTATGTTACTTATGCATTGATTAGATGGTTTTTCATCTTGCACTCAACCATTTGCTTAATAATTGATTAACTGTTTATGTGGAAATTTAAGCTCTTACAGAAGTGAATCAAAGGTATTAGATAAAAAAATTGTTTTCGATGACTAGGTAAATCAGGCCATGACCCATAGTCTTGTTTAGAGCCTGAAGTATTTGAATTATATTAAACTGAACTGGAGTACATTAAACTTATGCCAAAGGTTTTACTCATTTAAAACTGAAATAAATTAAGTCAAGCAAGCCAGTCTATTTGATATGCATCATCTCTCATTGTATGTTATACAATGCAATATAAGTGTAGAGAGAAAACAATGTAGGCAATTAAGTTAAATGTTCTATTTCTATATATACTAAAGTTAAAGTGACTTCCACTGTAGCTTGATGCTGTTCAGGCTACAGTGGAAGTTTTGTGACTAAAAGTATATATAAGGAAAAGGCCCACACACTTTTAAAATCAAAGTCACATGATTAGCTTCTTTCTCTATGACCTCTTGATTTAATATACATCTGATGGATTAGTTCCTACTTCATTTGTTAAGATGTGAAATGATTGGTAAACAAGTATACCAATCAAAAGCCACTTCCAAATATAAGGAATAGTGGCTTTCTGGTTAATAAATCCAAACATTTCCTTCAATTAGTTTTTGGGAAATCTTTCATATTCTAAAATTAGTCCCTCAGATTATTGAAATTGCTATTAGGTCCCCCATTTCGTAAACTGTTTTCAAATTATTGAATTGTTGTTAGGTCCCTAATTGTTAAGCTATTTTCCAGATTAGTCCCTCAAATCAGTAGTAGAGTTAGCAATTAAACAGATTAATTTGAATTAACTTATAAGAATTTAGAGACCTAACAGCAATTTCGATCATTTGAGGGATTAATTTCCCTTTATTTGCTACTTCTAGTTTTGATCGGAGGAAATAATTTCAAAATAACTTAAGAGTTGGAGGAGCTAACATAGATTTCCATGATTTGAGGGACTAATTTCAAAATATCTTAAGAATTGAGGGACCTAATAGCAATTTTGATGATTTCAGGGACTAATTTCAAATTATGGAAGATTTAAAGGACTAATACAAAATCCACTTCGTATTTCAACATTTTGATATATCATGAATCTCACTATTTTCTAAGTGATTACAAATTTGGTTTGGTTTTAAACCAAATGCTTAAAGCATTAATTCTTTGCTTTTTTCACACTAATTCCACGACATTATGAAGAAAGATGGGTTTCTTCGTACAAACTGAAGTTTTACCCCCATTTATTTTTAAATCAAGCCACATTCAATAAGAATTTTTTGCCTATAAACCCAAAGGTCTACACTTATTTACTCTAAAATGCAGCAATTTCTAAAATCACTATGCAAAATACTCCGCCACATTTTTTTTTACTAAATGATTAGGTATAGGATGTATTTTTAATTTAAATGCTTAAACCTTTTTTTTGTTGACTTTTTTCACACTAATTTCTGTTAGAGAAATATGTGATTGATTCTGACACAGCCAGCTGGTATGGATTAATTTACAATTAAGTTTATAGCCTATGTGATGATTTTTGAATTATTCAAATAAAGTTACAGGACGATAGAATGTGGCTATACCAAAAGTTGGAACTATTTCATTAAACTCAGATTGATATAATTGGTTTTCTCTAGATGTGTTGTGATAATCTCTTCGCTAACTTTTGTGCAAAAGTACTAAAAAGATGAGAGCATGTATATTACTTATATTGATTTTAAAATTCTTTTTCTTTTCTTTACAATGTGTTTACTTAAGATTTTTAAACTACTATTTCTCTCCAGGTTGTTGGATTTGCCACTTCGTGAAAGGAGGACATGTAGTATTTGAATTACCATATCTGAATATATGGATAATCATGAACTGTTATTTCACTTGGCATTTAATAGTAACTCTAATTGGTTCTTAATGATAATATGTATATCAGGTCTAAAAGACTTGTTTCACAAGGTCAAGCCTGGTTTCTTGGAATTTGCGAAGGAAATAACAGTAAGTGCTGTTTCCCCCATTCATATACCTGATTGGTACTTTTTTGCGTGAAAATTGAGAAAATCCTTTTGTTGTTTCTTATCTTTTTTGTTGTTTCTAAAGCAGAAGTGATTATCCTTTCCTAGGTTTTTGTTTTTCGGTATAGTAGAAATTTGGAGTTCTCATTCTTGTTGTATGAATTTAAGCTACATGTCCCATGAAGATAAGTCACTACCTTTAACTACACATGTACATGGCTATTGAACCACTTTTTCTTGATACATAGTTGACAGCCAGTTGTTAAAGATTCAGTGATTCCATGGATTTGAAGCTATTTCTTTTAGTTTTACACTGCTGCAGTCTTCAATCTGATGGTCAAAATGAATGATGAGCATGACAAAGACGACGACAATGACATCCAGTCTATTGTATCATATGTTAAACTAGCAAAATATATTTGATAAGCTATCTCTGTGTGCATGCGTATACATATATGCGTTCACTGTTTTAAAAAGCCTCTGCCTAGGCCTAGGCGGTACCTAAGACGCCTGACTACGCCTGCACTTGGGCTGTATCTAGGCTGTCCATCTAGGTTTTGGGAGTGTTTAATGGAACATTGTCCGCTTACGTGGACTGCACCCTTTAGGCTTTGATCGTAATTTTTTGTGTTGCATGCTCCACGTCCTCTAGTCTCCTTCAAACTCCTTTCATCTCCCAATATGAACATCACCACAACCTTCTCCGACCTTCAGCAAAACCTCCTCGACCGCCACTTAAATAAAGAAAGAGATCTGCCTAGACACCAGTCCGACACCTAAGCGTTCGATAACATTGACATTCACTATCAATTATTGTAATTAAAAAATAAAAAAGAAAACCTCCTAGGCTCTAGGCGTCGGGTCCAACGCCTAGGCCTCCTAGCACTTTCTAGCCTTGTTAGTTATTATTTTGGCTATTTAGTATTTAAGTATGCATGGCTTATTATGGATCTAAGATTGCTATTTTTTGGCAAATTTATATGAATTTAATACATATTTTTATCAATTATTATAATTAAATAATTTTAAAAATAGCTAAACGCCTAGGCGCTGGCTCAAACGCCTAGTCCGCCGAACTGCCTTCTGTAACATTGTATGGTAATACTATATATATATATATATATATATATATATATATATATATATATATATATATATATATATATATATATATATTATATATATATTATATAGAGTAAGACTCCTATCAACTTAAGTTGATGTCCCAAACTTCCTAACCATTCATTTATTAAATAAAAACCTTTTCATATTTATGCAAGGATCCCAAGGCAATATGAGTGGTTAAAAAGATTTGGTGGATAACTTTTTGTTATCCACTTAAGTTGACATAAGTTTTGCTATATATATAATATAATTATATATAATATATAATATATATACATGAGAAAAATATGTATGTCTGGTACAAGCACAAATTTGTGCTTGTAGTGAGGTGGCATATTCCCTCCACTCATTCAAATGGGGGATCACATTCACATGGGTTGAGAAGTGCATGGGATATGCAAACTATTTGAGATGAGTGGATAGGGATGTGACACCTCACTGGCCAAGCATAACTTTTTGGGCTTGGTACCAAGCATACCATTCTCTCTCTCTCTCTCTCCTCTATATTATATATATATATATATATATATATAATATATATATATATATATATATATATGAGGATACTCAGTATACAAGGTGGGAAGCTCATTTAGCAAAATGAGCTGTGAGCTCATACACATTTTTCCTTACACACATTTTGCATACGTATATATGTCTGTGCGTGTGCCTGCTTGTTGTCAAGAAATCTATTTAATTTTAACAACTTTTCTCTTGAGGGGCTGCCCTCAACATGGAAATAAATGGTAAGAATCCCAGAAAAGAAGTCTCATATGCTGCAGTAGTCCCAATGAGCAAACTTTATCACTGAGATCAGCCTCATGAATCTTCATTGCCAATCTTCTCACTACCAGCATATGTTTGCGATATTAAGCTCATTAAGTTCCTTGTATATACCTTCTGTCCATGTTGGCATTGATCTTGATGTCCTAAAACATAAAAACTCTCCTCACATCTCGTTACATGAAGTGCCTCAATTTTGAGTCCATGTGAGTACCATCTTGTTTAGTAACCATGCAATTTTATGTTGCTAACTCTTGTTATAAATCTTTTCTATGTGACTGCAGAGACGCCTCATTATTTTATTTCTTCTTATTCCTTTTATTTTGCTGGGCTGTTTACTTTTCCATCAAGGTATTGTATCGTTACTAACTTCAGAACGATGTCCAAGATACCTTGTGTTTGTACTTGTCAAACCTGTAATAACTGGGTGCTGTCTCTACGTTTTTCTGTGTAGCAAGTTTGTGACAACTAAATCAGTCTTGTTTTTGGACCACTCAGTAGTTAGTTTGACCAAGTTAATGGAAGTAGAAGCTAATTACTCTTTATTTTCTGCTATTATTGGTCCTTTTTTTTTTTCCAAGACCGTCTTCACCTACACTTTGGAGCTTAATTTCCTTATCTTGTCGATTTGATCTACATCATCCAGAAATAACATGTACTGTCAGTCTGTCACTCTTTTTCTTTGAACAAGCTGTAATTGGAAATAAGGTCAAAATCCTGACCTCTTAGCTGTAATTGGAAATAGATTGTCAAAACAACTATTTGTGGAGGTTTTTACCTCTTTTATTATGTCTTGATAAATGTCTTTCATCATTTCTTCCTTTTTACTCTAAATTCTTTATTTACTCCCTAGACAAGGAAATACTCAAAATTATTGGTTGTATATGCAGAGAAAAGAAATATAATTCTCTGATGCAGAATTCCTACTTCTCCATCCACCCTTTGTTATACTTCATATACAACTAATAATTTTGATGCAAGAATTCCCACATGTTTGTCATTTTGCTTGTGCACAGATGACATATTTCTTAATCTATTGCATATTGGCATCTCTCCTACTTCTTGATATCACCTGTTAATTAAGTCTATAAACTGATTCACTTGTCCCATTTTGTTTCTGCAATTACAAGATTAATTACTGCCCAAAAACTGAATGAACATCAATGCACAATAATTTTTTCTTCGTCTTTACGATTACTTTCACATTGATGATGCTAACATAAAATCTTTATTGTATTTCTCTCCCTCTGCTGTTGTATAGGTGGAAGCAGATGAAGCATATTTGAGTAATGAAAGCACAGTAACCAATATAAACACCTTTTTTGAAGATGCCTGTAAATCGTCATGTGAAGGAATAATGGCAAAAACTCTAGATATTGATGCTGGATATTGTGCATCAAAGCGCACTGATGCCTGGTTAAAGGTACATCTAATTTGAGATAAGACGAACATCCCGCTTGATCAAACTTCTTGTAGTCTGATGTTCCATAATTTCTCATCAGGTCAAACGTGACTATATTGAAGAATTGGGTGACAGTCTTGATTTGGTACCCATTGGCGCTTGGTATGGGAATGGAAGAAAAGCAGGATGGTACAGATAATAGGCTTCCCTTCCTTTCTAATGTTTTCTTTTGATCTAATGGTTTCTCCCATCAAAATGATTTTGTTTCTCTGACTGCCATGGTACAGGTACAGCCCTTTCCTTATGGCGTGCTACAACCCTGATGCTGAAGAGTTTCAAAGTGTGTGTAGAGTCATGTCTGGCTTCTCAGATGAATTCTATAAGTCGGTAAGTGCAAGATATAGTGAAATGTATAATCCCCTTTGTACAACTAAAGTTGTATGTTCTCACACGTAATGCCAGCTTGCATGTTATCTTGCACTAAACTGTTCAAGCTTCTAGCTTTAGCTAATTTAATATAGTCCAGTTTAATAAAACCCATTTATTGAAAAATAATTGTGGAGGAGTTTTATGCTGGATCCAGGGACGGACATGAACAACTAGGCAACTAGGAGTAGAGATAGTTCAACGTTCGTCAAATGGTTTCTCTTTTGAGTAGGGGAAGGGGTGCAGGGAGGGAATTAAGCAGTTTCTCCATGGATACAGAAGGGAAGGGGAGGGGAGGGGTGGTCTCTGCAGGTAATGTTGAGGAGGATGAAGAGAGCTATGATTTGTTGGCAGTGTTGAGGGACTAAGATTACCATCAGAATACTTTAGTATGTGGGAAAATCTGAGCCATTGGAGAGGGTAGGGAAATTTCCTAATTTCCCCACCACTAACCCCTGTGCTCCCATCAGAACGCTCCACACTCTAGGGGCGTTCTGATACGATTCATACTCGTGTTAAGGTTACAAATACCTGCAGAAATAGGCTTCGTTGTTGTAAATGAGAGAGTAAAAGAGGAAGAAGGGAGGAAATGGAGACAAGAGAATGGGAGGACGGCTGGGGAAATAAAGGTAGGAATGTTCTATTCATTATGATGGGATTGGGTTTTTTCCTGCAGTAGATGGGTAATATGTCATTTTTCATAGCTGATGCATAAGAGATATTGTATCAAAGACAGTGACCCATTTGTATCAGGTTATTTGGTTAGTTAGGGGCTGTGATTGCACAACATGTCTAAGCAGGTCAGCCAGGTGGATCTGATTTCAACCTAGAATTGGTTATATTCAATCTGAGTGTTGCAAATTTGTGTTTAGTTTTCTGCTAGAGCTGAAATTTTTATCCTTATTCTAATCTTATATACGCAATTTCCATAAAAAGAAATGAGAACTAATTACAACTAGTACAACTGACCTGCCAATTTAGTATGCAAAGGCAGCAATTGGAATATCTCAATAGTGGTGGGTTTATTCCTGGGAAATAAAAAGATTCCTCAAAATTTTCCATATGTCCTCGATCAATATGCTTAGATATTATGAAATTAGATCTTTGAATATAGGGAGCACTCTTGATCCCGAAACAACAAAAACTTGCAGGTCCGTATGGGAGTCTTTCAAAATCGAAAAAATAGAAAGGGGAGAAAGAAGAATGATGAAAAAGCTAGATGGTCATGGTTAATTGAGAAAAAGTGTGTCCTGGGAGAATCTAACACAAGAAAAAAGGTATTGCTTTACCATAAAGAGAGAATCCGAGAAGACAAAACTAAATATTCACTGCTAAACAATAATGTAATGATTTTGTTAATGGAATTATAGATAGTCAGATTTGCACTTGTAGAAGGATCCAGCTTTGAGGTGTGAATATTATCTTACTTTATTCTTTTGGCTAATTCAAGATAGCATGTATTGGAGGATTATAAAAACTTTATATTTTAGGTGTACTAGGATTGAGATTATTAGTTATACATTCGTCAGCTAGGATTGGCTATGGTCAATTCTTGTTAGAATTCCAATGTTCAGGATTTTGCTACTTTTATTTATATAATACCTCACATGCGCTTTCTGGAGTTGGAAAGCAAAAAGCTATCTGAGCATAATATTTGGAACTTTTATTGTTTCCATATGAATTTTAATAATCACATATGTGTGGCATGGGTCTTCTATCATGAAGCCATTTGCCGTCCAATACTTCATACCTGTATCACAATAGATTGAGTTCCTATATTGCACCAGTACCCACACCCTGTATAACATAGAAAACAAATAATGCTACTTAATGTTCTTTTAAAAATCTGTTTTGATTTGAACTAATGTGGAAATGTTTAAGATTAACTTTTATTTTATATACATTGTTGGTTGAGAAACCAAAAGTTTAAGCTTTTGCATGAACTAATCCTTGAAGTGGTACCGGAGAACTAAGTTTTGACAGGTCATGTGTTCATGTCACGCTCCGATACTGCAGCGGAATTTCATAAAATACGGGGTGTGCGACAGCAGCGACCAGTGCCTAAGACAAGTCTTATGCACGGGTCAAGCCTGACACTTCATATCACATAGTTTATTTTGAAATATTCATAAACCTGCTGATGATAGAAGTCAAAATAACTATATATATGATTGATACTTACAGCCCACAAGCTCACCGTTATAAGCATTTTTACAAAACAAAACAAATTGTGCCAAAAGTGACATAAAAAAGAAGAGGCTCTCCATATAACACCTCCCAGCCAAAAGCCCTAACCAAAAGTTCAGCTAGTACGAAGCTACGTCGGATCTGAAATTTTTTTAAAAACAACGGGGTGAGCTAGCGCTCAGTGAGAATATTTCTCACTAGAGTTCCTAGATAACTAGCAAAGTAGTAATAAGAATGATTCTCAGAAATAACGAATCATAAGTTTTGCATGAGAAATTCAAAGATAGTAAAAATAGTAATAAGAATGATTCTCAGAAATAACGAATCATAAGTTTTGCATGAGAAATTCAAAGATAGTAAAATACGATCCAAATATCATAATATTAAATAACGAATCATAAGTTTTGCATGAGAAATTCAAAGATAGTAAAATACGATCCAAATATCATAATATTATCGTTTTCAAGAAAGAATACAACAATTATATTTTCTTTTATGTGCAACTGAATATACTGTGAAGTTTCTTGAAATCAAACCCTTTTTGAATCAACGTAAATATTAAAAAGGAAAAGAACTACTAATTTGTACAAAACCAGAGAATTATTGTTTTCTAAATTTCACAGTCCATTATCAGAATCTAAATTCTCGATGAGTTGTTCATGAATGTAAAAGTCACCCCATAGGTCACACTAAGGCTACGAATTATAGCCTAGTAATGAGGAAATACGTAACCGCATCACATAACAGATAATTCTCGCGAACCGAATGCACCTAATACTGCCATAGGTTACTGGCCAATACAAAGGGGCCAGAACAAATATCAGAAGGGCCAATACAGAGGGGTCAAATAAAGGTGCATTCACCATATAGCAGGCAGAAGCAATCCATAGTGGACTATTTGAGGGTTTGAAAACATCGAGATCACATGTCAAATGAGTTATATTTTGCATATCAGAATTTACAGATATTTTCAAATGAAGTTGACAAGGTAAATCTCCTTATTTCAATTAAAATAGTTTACAGATATTTTTTTTATCAAATACTAAGTTACGAAAAATCTTTGAATCCGTTAAACTGTTGAAATACGTTCCAAATACTTCATCAAAAATCTCAGATAAAACAATGCTCACAATTATTTGAAATTTGCATGAGAGCCAAATTTATTTTTCATATTTTACATAAAAATCAAATTTTCTTTTCATATATTATACGAGGCTAACATCGTATTATAGGATAGACCACAACAAAAATAGGTCAAATCTTTATATACATGAAAATGACATATAATTTATTTTTCGATCACAAGATAAATCAAATATAATACTCATGCAATTTCATATTATAAAATACTAGTGAGAAATGAACTCACCTTAAGCGAACATGACTTCCCCAAAATGTTATCCTCCTGAATATCAACCAGGTCCTATAATATAAGATATAAGACTAATTACTAATTCAAGACAAACATATATTATAGGTAAATCAATTCAAAATCTAGAGCCTAATAAATTCAGATATAATCAATAATAATTAAATTCTGCAGTACATATGAGTTTATTGCTAACCTTAGCAATTTATCAAAATTTTATAACTCTCATATACTAGCTTTTGGACTTCCTAGTAATTTATGATAATGCAGGGGTTGTAGGGAATTAATCAAGTTAAAAAGTTATCTTTTATTTTTCAGATTGGACTTGTTTGCAACTGAACAAAAAACATGGGCCTAATAGATATTTTCCAGTCTTTTTTTAACTATAACTTATATTACTATAAGGTTTATTTCGAAATTTTTTTTATGGTTCAGGGGCTTAAAGCAATTTTTTCTTCCTTTATAATAAATCATCTGATCATCTTCCTCCTCTCTTCTACGTTTCTTTCTTCTTCTTTTTTTCTTTTTTTCTGTTCCTCTTTCCTTCTTCCTCTGCTTTTTCTTTTCCTTTTGGTTTTCTTCTCCTCTTCTCTCTCTCTCTTTCTCTCCGCTATGGAGGTAGGACGGTGACGAGGAGCCGCCGACGACGAGGAGAGGCCGACGGCAAGAAACCCACCAAATCTAGGTTAGTTATTTTCTCTCTTTTTTTTCCAGTTTGTTTCATGCATCCTAAACATATAAAAAAAGAAATCCCTTGCAAACCTTAGATTTTTAAGTTCGTATTCATAACAAGTTAACTTCCTCATTCATTCTATTGTGATTCGATTTAGTAAGATTTGATATGAAATTTGAAATGAGATTATACCTTGGGTACTAGGTCGAATGAAACCTTTTTCTAAAAGTTCTTGCAATTGTACCTTTAGCTCTCTCGATTCAGCAGGTGCCATTCGATAAGGAGCCTTAGAAATGGGACTCGTGCCAGGTACTAGGTCAATTGAAAATTCAATTCAATTTCTCTATCTGGGGGCATTCCTGAAAGTTCTTCTGGAAATACCTCTGGAAATTCTCGGATAATTGATTGATTTTCCATCATCAATCATTTCAACTGATGCCAAATAACTCATACATCCACTTCTCAGTGCTCGATATGCTTTAAGGGCTGATATGATCTTTAAGGGTTCTTGAGACTTACCACCCTCAAAACAAAATTCGGGTTGCCCAGGAAATCTAAACACTACTTTCTTTTCTCGACATAAAATAAAAGCCTGATTTAAGGATAACCAATCCATTCCCAATATGATATCGAAATCATGCATTTCTAGCATCATTAATTCTACGGGGAGTTCCTTGTCGAGAATATAAATTTTACCCCTACAACCTTGATTTGATATTAGTGTGCTACCCT